GATGGAGAAGAACACTACCTGTGCTCCCGATCCTGCAACCATTTGCCCCAGTGCCCTGAAGAGTCTTTTGACGGCTTTTGGATCCCTCTCCTCCAGCTCATCACTGCCCACCTGCATTACCAGCAGAGGGTAGTAGTCAGAGGGCTTCACCAGACCAGGAAGTTCCCTGGTGAGGAAAATTCCCAATACATAAATAGGTATAATAATCAGGGCTGTAATACTCTGTGAGATTCAGCTGGAATAAATCAGCTCAGATGCAGTGAAATCACTGAAGTTCTATTTATTCATCTGGTTGTTGAAAATGTGAACTGGCAAAACAAATTTCTTCACAATCTACCCCACATCTGTCATTCCTGCCTTCAAAAAAATAAAAATATTGTTTCAATTCAATTCTTGTTTCAATCTTTATTAATATCCATCCCTACAATTACCTGAAACAAGAGTTATGATCACATTTACACGCAATCTTTTTCATTTACTAAGTTTTCATGACCGATTCTATGAACAGTTTCTCTATCAATGAAAATATATGCAGCCTACTCTGAGTGTCTGTTAGTAAGTGGGATGCTAGTGTTATTAATCATAAAAAAATTACTTACGCAATCTCTATAGGAAATATCATCACTTTAAGCATTACTCTTATTAAAGGCTTGGTTGCCAGGCCCAAAAAGCATTGTATACATCTATTTTGCACACCTAATCGTAGAAATTGCAAAATCTGACATTTATGTTAGCTCCTGCCAGAGCAACTGGCACTTACAGGCAACTTAGGAAAGGCCGAAGGCTTACACATAACAACTATGAATCAGGTAACTGGACCTAATGCCAACCTACAAATATTCTAAGAAGAGCACACTTCAGGAAACCTGTGTATGTAATCAGATTTTTTTTTTAAGTACCATATATATAAGTATATTTACATATATATGTAAAATACAATGTTTTGTAGTTTGATCTTGACTGTTATATATTATGAATCAAACCGAACTAATGTACGCAATTATTTTGGAAAACTGACATGGGCTCCACTTTGCGTTTAATTTTACTACAAATTACTGCATTCCCAATGTATACTGCTACGAGTTTGTATCGAATTCTGGTAGATCTGACAAAATGAACAGTCATCCTGGGACATCACACACAAAAGAAATAATACTGATGAATAAAAATGTAACAGCACATGATCACTAGGACTTATGGGAACCATTACCTAATTCCTGAACAAAGAGTATATGGCCTCAGCAGTCACAGAAATGTCACTTCAAATTTGCTAGCTCAGGCAATGGTAGGAGTCTAATTATCGGGAGAGTGGTATAGAGAAATTTACCTGTGTTTTGGAGTCCTTAAAACTCTGTTTTTCAAGGAGAATTTGAAGATTTGTGCATTTTACCTACACCTGGGTGCAGGGTCATTACTTTTCCTCCTGGAATATTTTTTATATTAATGAAGGTCCAACACTGAATTTTTCATTTGTCAAGCACAGAAGTATTACATGTTCAAGCACTGACTTTCTTCTAATACTTCAATAAAAACCTGATTTTAAAATCCTGTACTGTTGAAGTCAACACATTTCTTGAGCCTCAGGCACATGAAAATTCTATCCTCACTGCCAAGTAACATTTAACTGGGGTGAATCAGAACTTCCTCACTCTGTTACATGATAAACTACATAAATATTAAAATAATAAAAGAAATTACCTGCTCTGCCAGTGTCTCACAGTCTTTAAGTTTTCCTCTTAAGCACTGAATTCCACCATTTCCAGTTATTACAATGGTTGCAAAACTTTCCTCTCCAGAAGGATCTCCACCAGGTTCTTTTACTTCAAAAACCTCTGAATAGAAGGCAGACTGAAGGGTTTCCAGATTTATAAGATACTTAAGTTTCAAGTTTCTGGCAGTAGCTTTGCATTGGCCAAACTGTTGTATAAATTTTCGGAACCTGTACCTTATTCTTTTTCGTGTCAAAATATGGTAGTCTTGGATTTTTGCTCGCACACATTTAGGCAGAAACATTTTGTAGCTGTGAACACATAACCAGAAAAAACCCTTAGTTATTTTATCCATTAAATCCAGCAAAGATAACTAATCCTAAACAAGTCAACATGAAAATATCTTTTACTCTAAATGTAACCTTATTCTTTATATTGTAGGATAACAAGGACCCTTTCTTCAATCTGTAGTATGTTCTTTCATATACAGCCCTCTGTCTCTTCTTCCATGTCCCAATTCTTTCCCCTCACTCAGTTTCACATGTATTACGTAATGCATTTTCTATAACTCCAGACGTCTGTTCTAGTCATTACTGAAGTTTTGATGTAAGGCAGCAGAATTTACAGTTGCTTTGTTTGAAGTTGGAAAGAGGATACTGCACAGATAGAGGACAGATTTCCAGGCTGAAAATACAGGTGGTAGAATAAAACACTGAAGTTCCTATATCACAGTCCATATTCTATCAAAGGGCTAAAGAGAAGTTTGTCACCTGCCATCAGCTGGACCCTTCATTGTCTCATTCTGTTTTTTAATCCTCCTGCTAAGTTTCATTAAAAGACAGACATCAAGCATTAAGTACTAAGCAGGGACAGAATTAATTCAGCCGGGGTGGAAACCGATTAGGCTGACAAACCAAAGTGAATTGATAAACTCAAGCAAGTGTAGCAGAGATCTGCCCAAGATGGTTAAGAGCCTGGAGCACATGACATAACAAAAGAGGCATAAGGAAGCTTGATTTGTTCAGCCTAAAGAAAAGAAGGCTCAAGTTGGGTGTTTTATTAATTGTCTTCAACTAACAGATGGTTATGGAGAAGACTGAATTAGATTTTTCTCAGGCATACACAAAGAACAAGAGGCAACAGACACACAGTATCAGAGGGGACTGATTACATACAGACAAAATCTTCCTCAGTGACGGTGATCATACACCGGACAAAGCTACCCAGGGACACAGCAGAATGTCTATCCCTGGACATTTTCAGAACCAGAGTGGACAAGGCCCCGAGTAACTTCATCTAACTTTGAAGTTGGCCGTGATGGGAACAGGGGGTTGGATCTGATGACTTCCAGTTGGTCCCTCCCAACTCAAATGATCGCTTACATCCTTACCCATATGAGTAGCTGCTGCCTTACCTCTCATTAAGGGAACCAAATCCATGCACCCAAAAGCATGAATGGCCATCATGATACACTAGCTTTCTACTAATTTCCAGTTTAAACTATAGGCAAGTTTACGGAATCATTAGGCTAGAATAAATCAACTGCCAGCAGCTGAACATCTCCTCACAGATGCTAATGTGCAAAAATACTGCTTCTAGATACCAGATACAGTTATGATGTATGGAGTCACCTGACTGAATTGTAAATAGCCAGTGGGGTTTGGTCCTTTTCTTTGGCCACTCTCATCATATCTAGAACAGCCATTCCAAGGCATTCTTCTTGTGTTTCGTGAGTAACAGGCATCTGTATCCATCCATCCAGAAAATCATCTCGCCACTGAGAAAGAATGCAAGAAAGCAAATTAAAACTGTAGCACAGCTGCTCATCAAGAAGTTTTTTTGGGTGTGAGGGTGGTTTTTTTTGTTTTCTTTTTTGTAAGACTGAATTCTCCTTAATGAACCCCTTCATCCACAAAAAGCTGCACATGTTCATAATGGATACCAACTACTATCATGCTTAGAAACAATGTTTTCAAAATATTTTCAAAACATTTTTGTTTCAAGTCTTGAAAAGGTCCATATGAGGAGGATGTTGTTCTACATTGTGTCAGTCTAAAATGAAAGTTCACTAAAAGACTTCCACATGGCAGTGGCACAAGAAAGAAGCTACACACTCTTCACTGCTCTCTCCACAACTTTGAGCCATCTGAAGCACCTCTCCAAATACACAATGTGACAGGAATTTAATATTCATCTTGAGTGGGCTCCAAGCTGTCAGAAGATCCACACAATTACTATCAGAAGATGTAACAGGGAATAAATACTAACAATCTTTACCAATCTGCGTTAAAAAAAGATCATCAAGCAAATCATACCTGTGCAAATAGGTAAGACATGACAAGATCATCAAGAACAGGGCTTTCTGCACCTCGAAGAATGCCATATCGATATGCTCTGCTGGTGCCATTGCAATACCAGTGGGGAAAATAAAACCTATTAGGAAATATTTAAGTAAACATCAATAAACAGATACTCTCACTTACCAACATGAGACATTACTGCTTTCATAGACATGTAATCAATCAGTGCTGGCTGGTTTGACAGACCATTAATGAAGCCCCAGTTACTTATTGGAAGGATTTCAATCCAGTTCTTGGTGTCTTAAAGTAGTACAACATTTAAGCAGGGTGATAAGCTGTACTGGTAAGAATAAGGAGCACTGCAAAGTAATCCTCACTACTCAGAAAATAAAGAATTTTATGTTAATGTCTTCCAGTTTCCTTTGAGATGTTCCTAAAGAAACACTCAGGCCACATTATACAATGTCAATAAACAAACTCTTTTACATAAGGAAAACTGTCACTGTTACTTTAGACATCCACACTCAAAAATCAGCTTAGGGAAAAATGGTTTTAGACCAGACATCTGCCTGACTACACAGGATAATTACTCTGCGTTTCAGAACTGTCACTAATTTCAAACAGGCAAGCACCAAGGAGAAGCAGCGTATCATTATGAAAAACACTGGTTTTACTTTTTCTATATTTTCTATTATTTGTTTCTTCACTCCGACATTGCAAACATATGGAATACAGACAATTGACAATATATATTATTCAAACCTATTCCAATCATTTTGATCCTTTTATCTATTGCTTATCCAGATCTCACCAACAATCTGTCCATAACTTCTTAGACAAACTACAGTTCAGTGAAATATCTTATTGGTTGTGTGTCCTCTCATAGTTTTGTTTTACCAGAAAAGTGCAAAATATTTGATTTAGATTACCTTATCCGGTAAATTAGGATGAGTCTGGTTCCTTCATCTACATGGAAGATGTGATTTGGGGGATACCACATTCTCTCTGTTTCACTCATGAGTGCAAACATGTTATGATACACTGGCATGATACCTAAACAAAGAACAGAGAAGCAAATATTTACAGGAAGTTGCTTTCACAAAAATCAACCTCATTAAAAAAAATACTATGCATTAAAAGTAGCAGATTGGCACATGTTCTCCAACTGTTCCTTGCACTGCTCTGTCCTTGTCAACAGCATTGCAACCATCACCCCATAATCTGGAGATTGTTTTTGCTGGGATATTTGTTGATTCTTCCTTCATGCTCTCTGACTGCAGACTGTGTTCACCTGTCATTCTATATTTCATTGTTAGAGCACAAAATTTGCTCTGTGTGGCATTTAATACAATCGCTTCTTAACCTCTCAGTTAACAGCTAACAACAACACATTACCTTTTTCCTTACCTTTTTCAAAAACAGATTTAGGCACTGACTAAGATTTTAGAGTGATGAAAAATAAGCAGCAAAGCAATACAAAGAAAGTCATCATGACTAGGACAACCCCGTGCCACTTACATTTTAGAAGATCCATTGGGAACAAAACCAAACATATATTGTTAATTAAATAAAACTGGAAAACACTTATTTCCCCTCAACAATTCAGGATTGTTTCAATGAGGAATGACAAGCAATCCTACTTAATCACAAATTATGGAAACCTACTGAACATCAACTCTTCAGCAGCACCAGAATTTTAACTTGGCGTTAGGGCTCGCAGCTGAAGGTACAGGCTAACATAAGAGATGCCACAGCGTTGTGCTACACTGCAGCATCACACATCCATGTGACGCCAGTGCTAGGATTTGCAAAACAGGTCAAATGCCTGAGTATTGACAGCACAAAAGGATGAACTTCAACCACTGACAAATACATTTTAAAGACGCTACGTGATACAAGTCTAGAGGTCTGAGAGTAGGAGGAAAATTACAGTGTGAAAGTCACAGTAGGTCATAATGAAAGAAACCTATGTTTACATTCAAGCAAGACACTTTGAGGGAAGAAGGCAAATATACTGAAAAAAAACCCGCAGATGAAGACAAGAAAAGTAACAAAATTAATTTAAGAGACATAGGCAAAGCACTCACAATCCTCTCCAAAGACTTAAATCGAGATCATAGAAATTCACACAACAAAGCAAGAGGGAAAACTCCCCCCATCCCTTATTTCATTCTTTCTGTTCTGAACAACATCTAGGTAACTACTGAAGTGGCAGACACAAATTTCTTTCATCGCCATCTAAAGTGCATGTAAGATAATCAATTAGAAACAACTAATCAACTCCACATGTAGAACTGCACAAACATGTGGAACAAAGTGTAATTCAGCCTTAAATTTCAGCCTTAAAAAACAACTAGCTTAAATTTGTTATAAAATGGGGTTTGTCTCTGTAGGGAGACAATAAGAGAGCTAAGAACAAGATGTGCAGTTATCAAACTAAACTGATGAAATCTACAGGCTAATCATCTGACACTTGTTTAAACTAAAGCTCACCAAAATATACCTGAAAAAGAGATCCTATCACATGATTTTCTATGAAAAGGAGTCAGACTTACAAGAAGCTAGAAAACCAGAAATGAGTAGGTAACGTAACCAAAGCAAAACCAAAACTGAACAAAACCCCCAAAGGAATAACCCTGAAGGGATTAGTAGCTGAAGGATTGGCTGTATATCTCGGTGATGCAAATTTATGGTACAGTAAGACATATTTGATCCATCGGATTTCAGAAATATCCAATTAACACCTTTTTATGGAGTTAAAAAGAAATCTACATATACCACGCAACCAAACATGGTTCTGATTTGATGCAGGAAGTGGGATCAACTACATTACAGTACAGATGTCTATAAAGCAGTAACAACCACTTGGCAGTTTTAAGGCTGCGTGGTGTAGCTATCTCAAATAATTTCAGATCAACTACAGTGAAATCCATGTGAATCACTAGCCTATTTCAGTATTCTAGCCAGATGCTAAACACTTTTCAAGCCAATGATAAATACTTACCTAGTCTTACTAATACATTTCCCCTAACTGTTAACAACCCCATGTAAGCACACTGAAGAAGAAAAAATTTCCAAGTCCTATTCTTAAATTCAGGTGTTAAGTTGCTGTATTTCACCAAATACATTACAGGCACCACCACCACTCTCTCTCAAAAAAAACCCCAGCCCAAACCTAAAGCACCCACAGATATTTAAATCCAGATAATTTCAGTGACATTCTGAAACTTTAACTAAGCAAGAAACGTGACTTTGGAATTCCCCCTGCAAATCAGAAATGTTGGTATTAACAATAAAACCCCAAAAAATCCTGTTTGCTGTCTTCCTATGTATGACAAGTAAACTGTGCACTCATCCATTCCTCATACATTAGCATTTACAATTCTGAATGGTAACTTGTACCTTCCACTGCCAGTGCTCAATGACATCTACACCATACGTGTTTTTCAAGAAAAGAAATTTTTACACTTCTTTCCTTTTTCTTTTCTCCCCCTTAAAAAAACACTTGAAAATGTTCAATTATTACATAAATAGAGAAAATCCACCTACTAGAGTCTTGATAATTGTCCACAAAAGATTGCCGAAAGCAGAGAAGCCAGAAACATCCCTTTTCCAGTAATTCTTACCAGCCACTATTAACTGTAGGGACTTTTCAGTTAAGTGGTAAGTGCAGTGTTTAAGTGTCTTCTCCAGAAACAATTAAAATCAAAAAGGCTGGGGGTGGAGGTACATGCAGGTGGGGAATCAAAGGCTTCTCATGAAGCCCAGACATGCCAACAATAGTGAAAACTTCTGAGAAAAGCATTTTCAACACAAGTAAATCAGAAAAGCTGTTCACAACAGGTACTAAAAAACTTCCCCTGGATTTCTGCACTGCACTAACCATGCTATCTAATCAATCAATGACTAATTAGGAAAGGAGATAGTGATTCAGGCATAATAAAACACAACTGTTCTCCGCTTCTTCAGCAAGGGCTATTAAGTAAGTTTTCTGAACTATTTCAAAGACAAGAACATGACTCTCTTGGCAAGTATTTTATTTATTACCTAAGGCTAAGTAAAGGAGCCTCATCATGCTATACACGCTGCCAGGTAGCATCATGAAAAGGTGTAACACAAGTTTAATTCTCAAACTTTTACCTCAAGCATATAAAAAAAAAGAATTATTTGCATAGTAGTTTCTTCCATTCCCTATTATGATTTTAGACCTCCACATCCAGACAAGTCACACTACTTCATTTAACCTGAAGCAGCTAGGAAAATACAGTTTTTCTATATTTTCTCTTTTGTTGCCATTAGGTACCCTTTCACCCATACAGTATGTTTTCATTAGATAATGTTCCTCTGAAGGAAAAAATAAAACTCAGAAACTGTAAATCGATAAGCCACGGCACCACTACAGAATGTGGAAACCATGAGTATTCTATAGTAGAAATGGTTTCTTATTAATGTGCTTCAATTGACAGTTTTCTAAGTCACTAGACACATACAGACGAAAGCAATGAGTTGCATGGAGTTAACGGTTAAAAAAAAATTTTTTTGAAATCTCCAGTTTTGGAAGTCCAATACAAACATTAGCCAGTTTTCACAGACAACTGTCGCGTAAATTACCTAACATTGTTTACAAAGTCTTGCACACACGAAACGCAAAATTGTTTGGCTTTTCTTTTCTTACAGAAAAATACCTCATCCTTATCTCTCATACAAACTGGACGTTCACTGAACTCTGACAGCACATTCAGTGTCAATATCCTGTCAACAAAATATTTTCTGAATAGTTAATCAAAACCCGTGTTTCCTTTCTTGGCAAAAGAGAATTGCCCAGAGCTTTGACTAATCTATTCCTCACCTTGGGGGTGGGTGGTATAGTGTGTGTGGATTTTCAGGGAAGAGTTTAAAAAACCCAAAACCAAATTACCCTCCACCTCACACAAAGAAAACAAACCAAACAAACAAAAAAAAACCCCAACATAGTCAAACCCACAAAGGGCAGTTGTAACTCTGAGCCACATGAATTATGTGAATTCTGGAAATTCAGCACGTTAAGGCTAAGTCTGCTTAAAATTCTCTAGCTACTAAAAAGGAATCTCTTCTGAACCATACAAGGAAAGGGGTACTACAGATAATTACAGTCATCACATTATGCAACACAGTCACTCCCTTGAAAACATATAATTGACTGCAGGCACTGCATGAAACGTGTTGAAACAGTGTTTTTACTTTGGTATAATTAAAAATTCTCTGCTATCTTACGGCTCTGAGAGACGCACTAGCAGTTTTCAAGGAAACTACCATGGAAGTTCCCATCTATTTGCAAATCAGATTGAGTGAGAATTAAAAGGTTCCTAAGTGGAGTTTCTGGATATCAACATTAAAAAAAAAAAAACCACAAACCAAAACAAACAAACCCCCAACAACTCACACAAAGCCAAAAATACAAAGAGAAGCCAACAAATTCAAGGTCTTCTATTAACTGCTAGTTGCCTGTAACTCAGCATCCCAGTCAGGATTATCAAACTGGTTCCCTTTTGGGATTCTAGTTCCATTAAAAGGTTAAGATTTCAGGGTTTAAAAACCTTACCAGGAAAGGACAGTGGAAATCAGAACAAAAGCCTGTCAGAAATTAGATAAATAAAGTCAGATACCTCCTACAGAAATTTACATTCCTATACCCCAGG